GGAGATAGCTACCACAGCGATACGGCATACAGTATTTGCCGTATAAGTAGAAGTGCCACATGCCGTATAGATGTTGTATTTATAGTTATTGTATGGGTATGTATGAATAACTCAGTTACACGAGTTCATATTCCGTGCCGAAGGCGAGTGTGTAACTAACTGGCGCAACCCCCCTAGCGCACCCACAAAAATTTTCCCCACCCGTGAATTTTGGCCAATCAAATTTCAAAATCAGGTGTAACGTAAACAAACGAAGCGAAATCATTTTTTACGAATAAACTGAAATAACTCGAAATTTTAATTAAGAAATCACCTTCTGCGGTCTAATTAAAAATGTTCCTTGTGAAATTTTACTAATAGCAATAACCCTATCTCTAACTTTAACCCTACATTGTTCTCGCTCTAACCCTAATTATAACACGGTTTTATAAATTACGAGGGTAGGAAAATTTTTGTGGGTGCGCTACCTAAAATTTACCAGATATACATTATTTAATATATATAATTTATTTATTTTTCCGAATAAAACTAATTTTTTTTTTTTAAATCCAAGATACGATTTATGTGGAAAGAACTTAATGCATTGATGAAAGATACCGATTTATTCCGGTGAGTTAATTTACCGAATGAGTAGAATAAATTGTCTATACTTTATGATGCATAAATTGTAATAAACAAACGTATAAACATCATGCAGTCCTAAACATGACAAACCGAACTGGAAAACTCGAGCTACATGTAATATTGGTAGCATGAAGGATATTTTACGGCATCAGCAAAATGAATCGCAAACTCATTTTCATCTTTTTGAAATGTTATGTGATGCGGATGTTGATACATTGCTGTGTAATGATCCATTAGTTAATAGTATAGTCGATCTCGGTTCTCTCTGAAAGAAGAAGAACAGAATGTTCTTGTGGTATGCATTTTTCATTATGTGATATTTTTTATACAGGAACTGCCATCGTTTAAAAAATTTAATATTCCGTGAATAGGGTGAAAGGAGTTCTATAAGGGGTTAAGCATAGGTGCTTTGGTAAGGCAAGTACGTGCTAATTTCATTACAAAGAGGAACGAAATCAAGCAACGTTATAGGTTTATGATATTGCCATCTGAGAAAGTGACCCATGCGCGTTGGGTTGAACAAGAATATGAAAGAGAGCGAGTAACAAAAAATATAACAGATGATCTTTTGCTAAAAATAAAATCGAATATCTTTCGTCGAGTTTCTGATGGGTCAGAGAATTCTCTTGTTGAAGCTATTGCTCACTTAATCGAGGCTTCTTTGTGCCAGTTACCACTCGAATATAACGTTGATGTGGTTAGGGGTGAAAAACAGAGCATTGCTAGCAAGAATCAGAAGGTGTTAGAGGAAAGTGGCTCAAGAGGAGATAAACCCGATCTGATGATAAGAGCATCTTTGAAACGGAAGCAGTATGAGGTTGCTTATGTGGAAAGTGGGAAATGGGATTCCAATGATAAAAAAATTTGTGATGATCATAACAAGCTTGCGAAACTTTGCTCGTATGGATATAAAGAAATTGTGAAAGAAAGGTTAAAAAAGGTTTATATCGCATTTGGGGTTAATATTGCAGGTAATAATATACTTGTTTCATAATTTGTTGTTAGAATATCATCAATATAATAATATATTTTTTTATTAATATAGGCAATAAATTTATACTTCATGGGTTGGTGCAAGAAAAGGGTATAAAATACTATTTGCCAATTGCTAAGGCGAAAATTCCCTTCTGCGATGAGTCACTTGAAGAGGTAGAAGAATTTGTTCATACTTTGTTGATTTTACGGGTAAGAAATCGTTAAAAATGGAATTTAGTCATTTTAAA